TATCAAGTTACATAAAAATATTCCGAAGAATGAACTCACGAAGGAACCTTCCTAGGTATCAAATCGCTTTTCCATCAAGACGATGTCCATTCGATGAGTGATAGAGAGTAATGGAAAAGTGTAGAATTGTTTGATTTTCCGAACCTTCATTCCCAAGATAGCAAAACTTTGCCGGTTTTTTTCGACAAAAAGTCGTAGTCATGTGAACAATCGACTTTCGATTTCAAATTTTGCATGAATAAAGTTCTTAATGGGAGTAGTTAAACTTTTTGTTGTAACACCCAATAAAATTTCGATATCTGAAAAACGAACATCCGCAAAAACAAAACCATTCTAAAATTTTCTATTGCTCATCAAATGAAAATCATCTCGGTCGAAAAACATTTTGACATCTGGACAAGTTTCTCGTCATATTTGTTTCGTTAAATATTCTTTCTGAAGTAGATCTCATTGTTTTGATAAAATTCTTACTTTGATATTGTTTATGATTCGATTGTTGTTGAGTAGCAACAAGACGTGAAATAAGATCTTCTAATGAATGATCTCGATCTTCTGATGAATGACTTTCATATTTATCAAATAAAAATTTTCCTTTATTAGTATCATCAGACATTGTTCCATGTGATCTTTCATCATCTTCAATAGCAATACCAGATGATGATGATTGTAATTGAGATTCATCTGAAGTAACAATAGCTTGAACAGCTTGAACAAATTGTTCATGATCATCTTCATGTTGTTTTCCAGCATAGATTGATGATGTTGTTGATGGTATACTAGCTGTATTACTTGTTGTACGTAAATTTTTAAGTAAACTGTCAATAGAAAGATCTGATGATGATGATACCATAGGACAAGTTGACTTTTGTGGAAGTAAAGTTGCTCGTTCAGATAAAATACGTATTTGTTCTTCGAGTGCTTGTTTTCGAGATCTAAAAAACAAAAGATTGAATAAAAAGAAAAAAAAACAAGAAAAAACATACTCAAGTTTAACTCGTCGTTCTTCAATATCAGCTGTTGTAGTATTTGATGATGATTGTTCTTCATGAATATCTTGTTGTGTTAATGATGAATCAATTGATGTACTACTTTCAACATAACCAGGACTAACAATAAGTCGTTTAGGTGTTTTAATTGTTGGTGTAACAAGTGCTGTTTGTTGATAAACACGATTTTGTGCAGCTTTTCTTTGTCGTTCAATTTTTTCCATTAAATGATGCATATTTTGTTGTTGTTGTTGATGTTTAACAAATTGTTGTTCAGGTAATGGTGTTTGTAATGTTATTATAGTTGGATCAGCTAATGTTGCTTCTTCATCTTCATAAATTTCATCAACTATTGGTATTGTATTTGCTGATGGAGTTATTGTTGTTAGACGATATTCTGGAGATGGATTTTCTTCATCATTTTCTGCAACAAGTGTTCGATCACTATTAGCATCTTCTTCTTCTTCATCATCTACTGGAATTTCATCTTCATTCATAAGAACGATTGGAATTGGTTCTATAAGAACAAAAAAAAACAAATTTGAATGATTTTTCTTTTAAACTAACGTTTTCGATGTGTATCTTGATAAGCTTGTTCAAATGCTGTTTCCATTTGTCGTTGACGTTCTTCACGTTCTTCTTCACGACGCCATGGAGGTATAAATATACTTTTCTGAAACGAAAATTTTTTATTTTTGTCTAAATATTTGAAATTTAATTTACAGGTAAATTTTGTATTTCTTTTTGACGACGATCTCGATCTTGTCTTTCAAGTTTACCTAATTCATCAAGTACATTATCATAAGCCTATTTAAATAAAAATATCGTTTTTTTTTGTATTCTTGTTTCATTAATACATAAAAAGAGAAATGATTAATTTACATTATCGAGAACTTCACGTTTAAGTGCACTATCGCCACGAACTCGAGCTTTTTCTTGTTGTTCATTCCATAAACGTTGTTTATCCGAAACATATGCATCAATACGTTCTTGTTCGACAATAGCATCTTGTGCTGCATCACCCTTAAAAAATTCAAAAATTATTTTTTTTTTAAATATTTTATACAAATTTAAGATATTTCTTTTTTTTACTTGTTGATCATCTTCTTTTGTTACAAGACGTTCTTCAAGATGATATCGTGTGGTTGTAAAATTACATGGATCATGAACAGTAACAATTGTCGCTAAATATATCAAATTTGTAATAGTCATTTTTGATAGTCATGAAAAATATGAAACAAGAGATATTGGTTCATGTTAAACGGATACATTGAAGACAATATGAGTTTATTATAAATTTAAGAAATCGCGATTAAAAAAAATCGAAATTTGATATTAGACGATAATGATCAAAGTAGAAATGTCATTAGATATGAGTGTGTCATCTGAATTGATTGTCTTTCGACGGATTAAATTCTTAAATCTAACAATCGTATTGTTATTTAGGAGTGTAACTGATGAATTAGAAGTTTTTGAAATGGAAATAAATCATATTTATTACTAGAGAAAAATGTTTACATTGATCATATTAACCAAAAATATTTGTGAGTGTTTTAAGGATAGTCCCCACTCCCTTTTGTGACCCAAAATCTTTGTGTTTCTTTTGTGTCCATTGCATAGTCTGACGTAATATCTATCTGGTGAGTACAAAAATTGTCTTTAGACATTAAAAAAATCAAACTTATGTAACGGAAATAGTGAATCACGTTTTTCTCAAGCTAACTTTTTCATGAAAAAAAAGCACAGAAATGCTTCCGTTTCTTCGACCTAGTGTGTGCAATCAAGCTAAATTTTTTTTCATATATACAATACACTATTTAAGTTGGGCATTTTTTTCTTCGTTTCAAAAAATATTGTTCTACTGATTCTCGGTAGTTCTTACAAAAAAAAACATGTGCTGTTGGGGTACCTTCGATATTTGGATTTTTTTTATTCGAAGGACAACAAATAGAGATATCCACCCCGAACAGTGCCTAGTATATGTAAAAAAAAACTTTCAGCTAGATCGAACATAGCACATCATGGAGAAACAGAGACGAAAATTGGAGGAGGAGGGTGGGACTAGGAATAAATAGAAATCGCAATGACCTTTTGAATCATGATGAAAATAATATTCTCCAAGAACAAGAAAGTGATGAAGCAAATTTTCATAATGACTCCTTTTGTTTTTAAAACTTTTGCAAGTATGACCAGAAAAAACGATTGTAAATTAATACATATGTACCCTTCGATTGGAATGTATCTTTTGCTTTTTTCTAAATATTATTTAAATAAATTTCAAAACAACTTATTTAACATATTGTAAGAAGACAAAGACAAATTTTATTATCTGTCATGAGAATACTTCCAATTCTAATATTCTTGTACACTTAGAATCGAAATCGCCCATCCCTAATCTGGAAAACTGTGAGTCTATGATAACTTTCACTCTACTCGCTAAAAAATCTACCTGCCTTGAAAATTTCAAATTTTTATAATATGTTGTTCTACAGAAGTTCTGAAAAGAGGATAAGGGTATCTTCAAAAGATAAGATTATTAATGTATAATTTTGTACAAACTATAGCCAGAAGATAGATGTACATCTGGCAACTTTGGTTCTTTTTCAAATCACTATGAAAAACAAACGACACAATGTCAATAAGAATTCGTGATTTCAATGAAAGTTACTGATTGGTGTGTTAATAATTATAATGGAAAAAACTAATTGAGTCTATTATTTATTTATTTTTTTTACAAAGAACAATACTGATAAATAAGAATTACGAAACGAAATATCAACATAATATCTGTTTCAGATAATTTTTATAAGTAAAGCATGAAACTTTTTTTCTCTCATAGTGTTTGATTATGAATATTTGAAAAGAATATGAAACTCAACACTTACTTGGTTTCGTTTGAAGATCACGTAATGGATCTTCAGGTGTAGGTAATTTAGCAATTTGTTGTGCTCGTACTTTTTCTAATTCAAGTGCCGCTTTTCTATAATCAATAATAAATTTGATTAATTTTAATAAAATTTAAACAAACCGATGAAGAATATGAATATTTCGTTCATTTTCATTTTGCATCATATCAACATGAAGTTTATCAAGTGCTTGTTGACCACGTTCTATAGCTCGAGCATCATTATCTAATGTTTTTGTTAACCATTCATTTTCATAATCAGGCTAATTAAAAATAATTAAATAAATAAATAAATCAAATTATTTACTTGATCAGCTGCTTCTTGATGACCTTTACCCATTTCCATAAGATTTTCACGAAATTGATATTCAAGATTATCATGTAAATCATTTTTTTGTTGTATCCATTCATCCTATTATGAAAAAAAAAAGAATTCTTAAAATAAAAATCTTACAAAATAAAATTTTTACTTTCAATTGATTAATTAATAAATATGTTCGTTTTTTCTTTTCATCAGCAACTGTTTGACGAAGTTGAGCAGCACGTTGTTTTTCAATTTGACGTGTCTATAATAAAACAACAAAAAAAAAAAACGACACAAGAAATAACATTTATAATTGAAATATTTTAACTAACTTGAAGAAGACGAAGTGTTCGTCGACGTTCCGTTTCATTTTGTATTAATTTTTCTTGTTGACTTGTTGAAATTAATAAACCTTTCATATTCAATGAAACAAAAATTGACTATTTCCTTCGTATTTCTTTTTAATGTTACTAAAGTTAGACAAAGAATCAAGTCATGGATTGGTGTTCAATACCATTGAACTAGTTTATGAAATGTACATTACTGAGCAACATCCACAAAATAATAATGACAGTTTTAATAAATTATTTTCAATTCAACTTAAAGAAATTTCTATAAATTTATTAAAACAATAAAATAAATTCTTTAATAAAATTCTTAAAATGTATTTGAACTAGTGTCATCTGTCATGAAAATAATTCGTTAAAATTGATGGATAAATGTAACCATTCATCAATTTTGGTCGTTTTTTCTCATCTATATATCGACGGAAAAGCAAATTTTATCAAACAAATTTTTAGTAAAAATGTTACCATTGATACCAATGTATCGATCTTTATCATTTTCTCGATCATTCATGTTGACCGGATGGCATTATGCATTTTCTATTCAACATTATTCATCATCAATCCGTCCACCAACACCTCCATATTCGGGTCCATCAACGAAAAAATGTATTGACTTATAATTAAAAGAAAGATAAATAATTTATATTATTGTGAAAATTTTAGCCGGTGCAATCATTCAAACATTTGATGCGATGATTGATTTTCGACGTCAACAAGCAAGACGAACAGTGGTTATTCATGTAAACTTTTAAGAAATTTTATTTCGGATTCTTTTTACAAAAAATAATAATAAATATTTAGCTTGGTCGAAGTCATTCCGAATCGGAGTTGTACAAATTATGTTCACGAGTTGGTCAGATTACAAATATGACACTTTATACAGCTAACAAAAAGGTTAGCAAAATAATTCATTTGGAAAAGATTATTATATTACAAATATAATTCAAATATTTTACTCATTTTATTCGATCGATTTTTGGATAAAAAATATTTTTAAATTTAATAAAATCGAAGTATATGAGAATTTGTCGAGAATTTTGTGAAGAGAAGTTCAAATCTTTGTTTCGAATAAAACATTTCAATTGAGACGAGCGAGTTATGTGAACGAAAATAAAGAAAAGTTTAAAGTCAATATGCATACTATTCGATAGATTTTCTTTTTAATAATAAAGTTATGAAATTCAACCAGATTGTATACATCTCCGTCTTTCATTTATATATTCACAATTTAGAAGTACCACAAGTGGAAAGCTTTGCTGATTATTCCTAAATTGTTATTCTTGTTTCTGTATTAGTTGATAGTTTTTGTTTTGAAAGAATTTAACAAGCTCTTTGGAAAAAAATGTAAAGAAAATTTGTTTTTCTGATTTCACTAGCTAAAAATTCCTTTGCAGGTTCAATGACATTTTTAATTGAAAACTTTCTATTGAAACCGCAATGAATAGGATTAACCATACTTGCATGAAAATTTATTAAAAATCATAACTTACTGAATATTATTTCATTAATCTTTATATATAACTGAAAATCTTTTTAGTATATTATAAATAATAATAATAAAATTAAAGCATATATAATATAAAAATATTTGTTTCTATTATATTATTTAGGAATGTGCTTTACTCGAATTTTCCACTGAACAAAGTGTCAAAAATCTTCTAGAGATTACAAGTCATTTTATTAATGAAAATCGATTACCATGTGCATCACGAAATCTTTATTTTGCAGTATGTGATTATTTTATAAGAGAAATTTTTCTTGTTCTTTCTGTAGTCTCAATATACAGGTGCACGATTAAAATATCCACCTGTTGGTCGTGAAGTTCAACAACTTGATGATACATTTATTGATAAAGCTTTAAATGATATTCGTAACGTAAGGTTAGTAATAAAAAACTTCTTTTTGTGTTTTTAAATATTAATGTTGTATTTCGTTGAAATTAGTGATCAAATTCGTTATTTTTGGCAAAAGACAAAACTCACTGAACTTGATACTCGTCTACGTTTTTTTGTTGCTTCACTTGTTGAAGGTAAATAAGAAAATTTATTCTAATGAAATATAAGAAAAAACAAAAAAAGAACTTTTTCTTTTTATTGTAGAAGGATTAAGAAGTATTTTTGTTGATACTGTTTGTCTTCCATTCGGTTCATCTGTAAATACTTTTGGAAAAACTCGTTGTGATCTTGATATGTTATTATCTTTTGAAGATTTTCGAGATAAAAATGTATGAATTTTATACTTCTTTTTTTTTTTATAATTTTATTGAAATTTTCATAATCAGATAAAATATGATGGAAAAATGCAACAACTTCGCTTTTTAACAAAACGTAGCTATTTGAATGATCGATTTCAAGCACAAGCTTATCTCAAAGTAAATTTTTACTTTATCAATTATACGAAAATCAATTTTCAATACTTTCTTCAGTTAAATTTTATATAATCTTAAATGTAATAGATAATATCTCGAACTCTATAGAATTGACAAAGAAAGTATTTCAAATGGTCTATTAAGAAAACTTTAATCAAATTACGAAAAAACATAGCTGCTTATAGTCATATTTAGTTATAAGATGATAGTTCGTTTAAAACAAAATTGAGCTTAGATTTCAAAAGAATACAAAAAGAAAAATAATTAAAATTGTTTTCGTTTTACAGATTCTTGCTGATACATTAAAACATTTCATGGCTGAATGTACTAATGTACAAATAATTCTTCCAGCACGTGTACCCATTGTACGTTTTCAACATCGATTATCTGATCTTCAATGTGATGTATCAATGAGTGAATTTAAGTAAGATCACTAAAAAAAAAAACTAAAGAATCAATAAATTATTATGAATAGATCTTCATATTATATGTCAAAGTTATTATGGAGTTTAAGTTCAATTGATAGTCGTGTTGCACCACTTGTTTTTGTTATTCGTCGTTGGGCACGTGAAGCTTCTATAACACAGAGTACACCTGGACCATGGTTTTCAAATTTTCAAATGACATTACTTGTTCTTTTCTATCTTCAATCAATTGAAATTTTGCCTAAACTTAATTATATTAATGAACAATTCGCTACAGCATCATCATCATCATCTCCAGATGTAACTTCAGCCAATGGTAACTATATAGTTAATATAAAGAAAAAACAAATTAACAGAATTTTATTTAATATTTTTAGGTGATCTCAGTGATAATTTAATTCTTATGAATGAACTTGAAAATATTCGTCGTTTTCATCCAAATAAATCTAATAATGATTCTCTTGGTAAGAAATAATTTTTGAGATTTTGTTAATAATTTATTTAATGTATTGAGTTTTATCGTTAGACAAAGTTCTTTAAAAAGAGTAACGTTCTTACCTAAATCAATACGATTAATGAGAAAACCTCTTCAGGTGTCAAATTACTTTTCGATCGAGACGATATTCAATTAATGAGTAATAGAAAAGTCTAGAATGTGATTTGATTTTTCGGGCGTTTGTTCTTCAGATATCAAAATTTTACTGGAACTGCCAAGAAAAAGATGTGTTCATGTGAATAGTACTCCTATCCTAAGATATACAATATTCAAGATTCTCTTATGTATAAAAGCAAATTTTATTCATATAGTTACATCTCCAAAAAGGAAATACTAGTTCCACAATCAACTAATTTCATTAAAAATTTTGCTCGTGCAAAGTTTGAAATCGAAAATCGATTTTTCATGTGATCATAGCTTTTGGTTGAAAAATCCAATAAAGATTTTGATATATCGAGAATTAAGATTTGAGAAACCAAACAATTTTAGGCTTTTCAATTGCTCTATAGTATTCATCAAATGAACATCGTCTTGATCGAAAAACAATTTGACATCTGGAGAGGTTCTCTCGTGAGCTTTCAAAAATGATCAATGAATAAGTTTCCGTATGAAATTAATAAAATAGTTCTATTTTAAATCATTATAATATAATGAAAGAAAAAGATTATGTAACGTAAATCTGGCTTCCGATTCATCCTATATTTCCTATAATACCTATATTTTTGAAAAATCCTTTATTTTGTCCTATATTTCGATTAAAATTCCTATTTTACCAATATTTTAACGAAAAAAGCAGGAAATGACCCAAAAGTTGTAAGTTTTGCTAGTCTTTAGATGTTGAATAACACATTTAGTGTGCGATCATATGCTTTAAACAAGCTCCTGTAGTATGACGATATCTATTTTAACAGGGGCAGCGCGAGCGAGGGAGGGTTGGGAGAGGGTACTCCCCTACGTCTGGAAATTTTCGGTTTTTTGCACAACGATTTTCGAAAACTTTTGAAAAATTTACAAAATTTTCCGAAAAGTTTTTAAAAATTTACTAAATTTTTCGAAAAATTTATAAAAAATTCAGAAAAAGTCGCCTACCCTACCTCAAAATTTGAAGTTCGAAACATTTTTTAATACTTCCTCCCATTTTTTGAAAGTACCCCCTGCTTTGGCCTCTTCGCGCCGCCCCTGTATTTTAAACAGTTAGTATTTTTATTTTTTCACCAGTACATAGTTCTTACTTTGAATTAGGTTCTCTATGAAAATCAACAATTTTGTCTATTATCTCGAAATACGACAACGTTTCTCTGAAAATATCTGATTTTCCAATAAATTAGATGGTCGCTTTTCTGGCATCAGAATTATATTATTTACGTACCACTACAACGAACAAAATGAGTTCTATTTGTTAGCATAATATTTCAATGAAGAAAGATAGTTTTCGCAATATAAACTATTTCATAAGAAATCAGATTCTTGAACATGTTTGATATCCCAGTGCGAGTAAAAGATCACAATTATTTTTTCAAGGACTACATATAACATCAGTATTCAAATACAGTACTTCTTTCGTCACTTTGAATTTTAGTAGTAAAAACCTTTTAAAACACTTAATTTTGCGCAGCTTTTGACAGACTTTCTAGTAGTATATTTGAAGATTAAGTTTGATGAAAAATTCGTTGCGACCGTTAACTCGCACTGGGATATCAAGCATATTCAAGAATCTGATTTCTTATGAAATAGTTTATATTGCGAAAACTATCTTTCTTCATTGAAATATTATGCTAACAAATAGAACTCATTTTGTTCGTTGTAGTGGTACGTAAATAATATAATTCTGATGCCAGAAAAGCGACCATCTAATTTATTGGAAAATCAGATATTTTCAGAGAAACGTTGTCGTATTTCGAGATAATAGACAAAACTGTTGATTTTCATAGAGAACCTAATTCAAAGTAAGAACTATGTACTGGTAAAAAAATAAAAATTTTATTTCTTGTTTCTGCTTCGCAAACCAAAAGATACGAAGAGACATGGGGCGGGAATGTCCGGATACTTTTCGGAGTACCTGTAATCCAGTATTATCTTTATAAGTCACATTTAATCATGAAAAATAGTATTTATGTTTTTTTTATTTGTTTGTTTTTTCAAAGTTTATGATCTACTTTTTTTGTTATTCATTGATTCGTGAAAAAAGTTTTATAATTAAACTATATAATGATATTCGAATTAACTATTTATTTCAGTAGAAAGAAATTAGATAAGGATTCTGATTACGGTCAAGCTCTTCATGGTAGCTTCATTAGAAAAAATTTCGAGCAGAGAAGTTAACAAAAGCAGGCAATTGAGCAGAAACACTGTATAGTAGATCCTATATTTTTGCCACTTTTGATCAAAAATCCTATATTTTAGACAAACTTGATCCTCTAAGGATTCCTATTTTTTTAAAAACTAGCAATCGGAAGCCAGAACGTAAATAGATGACATTAATATTCAATAGTAGAAAGTTAATGATTGAAATTTCACCTGTTTGTTTTAGCTATTCTCTTCAAAGGATTTTTTTCATTTTATGAAAATTTTGATTTTCAATCATCTGTAATAACATTACTTGAACGTCAAAATACATCAAAATCATCATTGATTCAAGCTGGTAAAGATAAAGAATGGCCAATATATCTTGAAAATCCACTTGTACCATCAATGAATGCATCAAAAAATCTTGTTGAATCTGAAGGTGAACGATTTCGTCAAACATGTTCAAAAGCATCACAAATATTATCACAATCATCTAAAAATCTTTTATCATTATTTGAAGAATGTCGACAATCATTACCTGATGATCTTGTTGCACGTGCCTATCCAGCACCTATATCAATAATGCCTAATTTAGAAACAGATATTGATCAAGAAGAATTATCAACCATAAGAGATATGCAACAAGAACAAGTCGAACAAATATTTGATCATACTGATCATCATGTTATTAATTCATGAAAATGAAAATATGTTGTTTTTCCTTTTTTCTTTTTTTGTTATTGAACTAGAAAACAAAATAAAAAGAACAATATATATGTTGTTCAAAAGATAAATTTGTCTTGTTCTAGATATAATGCCTTCATTAGGTTCGGATACATTATCGTCGAAAGATCGTCGTCGTTTTACAATAGATAAATTATTTCAATTAATAACTCAAACAAATAATGATGATGATATTCGATCATTTTCTATATCTGTAAATGAACAAACAAATAATTATACAAATGGTAACAGTATGGATAGTCATTTAATAGAAAATGATCTTCGTCATTTATGGGATCTTCTATCACAAATGATACGTAAAAGACTTCTTAAACATGAACCATGTTTATTACCAGAACTTGGTGCTTTTGTTGTTATTGATCATTCATCATTGGATAATGAAAATATTCTAATAAAAGAACCATTTTTTGTATTAGATACAACATTTGCTCGTCGTCATCGTTTATCACGTATTAAAAAATCAAATCTTTCATCAGCAATTTCACTTTCACTTCAAGCTAATGGAAAATCAACACATATTGAACCAAATACAACATTATCATCATTTAATATGCAAACATTAGATTATGTTGCATTACAAAATGAATCTGGTTTAACACGTGAACAATTAATGACAGCTATATCACAAATATTTGGTATTATTGATAAAGAAATACATCCATATAGATATTGTGATTTAGAATTTCCACAATTGGGATATTTTAGAATCTCATTTGGATTAGCTATATTTGATTTTAATGATGCATTTATTGATGAATTTAAATTAACACTTAATACTATTTCAACAACAAATGACTAATAAATCAACAGAGATTTTAGTCCGGTGATTTGTTTTTATTTCTTAATATTATTTTTGAGTTTTGTGTCAGATTTTGTTGGTTTTCTTTTTGTTTTGTTTTGTTTTGTTTTGTTCGATATATATATTTTTAATGTTGGTTTCTTTATAATTATTTATTTCATGTGAATATAAGAGTAAATATTTATTTAACATGTATAGTAGTCAAAAAAACAAAAAGATCAAAAACGATGACTAGTCGATAATCATCAATCATGCATAAGAACAAATCAATGAATAATTAAGATTGGTTTTTCTTTATAGAGTACGTATGAATTAAGGATATCATTATTTTCATTATATTGAAATATGAAAATTAATCTTAGAAAAATCTTACTTTTTTTCTGTTTAAACAACAAGTTAAATATAAAAACATTTGATGAACTTTTTCAATAAATCAACGTTAAATTAATAAATAACAAAGAAATATCTTTCTTTTATCTCTGACTATATACTTAAAACATATTTTAATAAATAATAGCTCAGATTGAATCTGTTTCCTTCATATATGCTATTGATTTCTGAATGTATGTGCCTGACTTATCCAAAAGTATTTCTTCAAATAGAAAAATGATCTATCGACAATATACAACTCGAACTTCATTAAAATATCATCCTTCATAACCACTAGCAAGTCCTAACTCATCATTATTTATTCATCGACAACAATATTGACTTGAAGAATCAACTCCATATTTATAAAAAAAAAAAAACTTTTTCTTGCTCAATTATCTATTCCTCCTCATTGTCCTCAAAATTAATTCATGCATGAAATGGAAAATAAAGCTAATATTGATCGTTCAATAGGTTTAGCGAATCTGATCATTATTGTATACATTATTTTAGTTTTGAATCAGTATTCTACACCACAATAATTTGTGACACATGTTGATAATAACAGACGTCAGATTCCATTCCTAGAATTCTTTAGCAGTGCAAAAGAGACGTTAAATGGCATTAACAATAAAACTTAGACTGTTCTGACATATTTCAACAACTTTCTTGAAGTTTAAATGGCTAAAATATGCTTTTCAATGTTCTGGGATCAAGTTTTAACTTTTCAAAATAATCACTATCAATAGAAAAGAAATTCTGTTCGAAATATTGAAATAAATAAGAGACAGATGTTTCTCTAGTAATCGATGACCCTTTGAAGGGAGTTATCATTTGTGAGCAATTCTCCAGCTAATATGATTTGCATCAATATTTAAATTGATTTTAATTTCATTTTTTCTACTTGTTCCATCGCCACTCATCAGTCTTATAAGTACATTAATGGTAAAACGAGATCGTATTACTATTAGTTGAAGACCGTGTAAAGATGATGATGGAAATGAGCTTATTGGTTATGTTGTTGAAAAACATGATGCTTCTTTCAGAAATGTTTGGCAACGTATTGGATATAATGGTTCATGTGCATTTGCATATACAAATACGGGGTTTCCTGAAGATGCTGCACATCATTTTCACGTATATATAGAGAATTGTGTTGGCATGATATCAACATTAACAACAATTGATCCGATTATTGCTAAAATTTCTTATATAGATCCACATACACCAAAAGGATGATCATTACTAACAGATATTGTTTCATCGAATTCTATTGAATGTTCATAGCAAGTACCATTATGTGATAATGGTACAACATTAAGATCTATGTGAGTCAAGATAAATTATTCATAAAAAAAATAGTTTCGCTTTATAAAGTTTTCGTCGTATATAGAATGGGTATGTCAATGTTGATATATGTCGATATATAATAAAAAATTCACTTAATGAAGGTGCTTATTTAATAGAAATATATTCTAAAAATTTTGAAGGTCAGTCATTAAAATTAGAATAACCAGTTAAATAAAACATAAAATTAATATACCTGACTCACTAGCTAGATTTGATGTTATAACTAGAACAGATTAACCAATAATATTACAATAGGAAATGTCATATAATGATGGTGATAATCCACTAATAGAATATTTATTAGAAATATGTAATAAAAAGAAAAAGATAAAAATGATGAATGGATACAAGTACAAATTTTATCAACAATAACAGCAAATTTTTTTGAGTGCCAAAAATTAAATTAAAATGTCTATATTATCATTTTTGTAATAAAGCAGCAAATTCTCTTGAATGCAACGAAACAAAAGTAATCGAACCAAAAAAAAAATAAAAAATAGTAAGTTAATTAATTTACTTCAACAAATGATCAACTCAATAGATTCATTTTTTAAATTATAAATAAAAGATAAAATCATACAGAATGATCGAAAAGTTTTGAATCCTCTCGAAAAAATTGTTCTTTCTCACTTACAACAAATTCAAAAACTCAAACTTTGGCATCTAATACGTTTGTAACTAAGCGAATATTTTCTCAAATTTTCATATGTCTATTCCCCACTAATACAGAAGATATATAGGTTGATATAACGGACGAGAGTATGACTGATTTATGGTGATGAATAATTGCTGTTTTGTAGTTCATCAACCATATCATTTGATGTATATCTCTTGTTTAATCGTGTAATGTTAAAATTTGTTCTATAATTATTTATATTTTTAGAACATAAATGTTTGATATATACAGTAGGATTGAAGAAAAATATGGAAAAGTTAAATCTCGAAAGAAAAATCGAGAAAAGAGAAATGCTAATAAAAGTTTATCAAAAAACAAATGATAAACAATGTTCATAAGTTTAGATCTATCCAATTAATATTGAAGACAATCGTATAAATATACCATAGATATCTAATTAACATTGTAATGTGGTTCTATCCTACATAATTCATGTTTATTGAAACAATGATGAGTCGCATAATTGAAATTTGAAAATAACAGAAGATCAAAGTAATTTAGATTAACGCGCATCTTAAATACTACAGGTTGAATTAAAAACAAAACCTTTTAATAATGCATGTATGTTAGTCTGTTTTACTTATACTTTATTCATTTTCATTGTGTCTTTATCTTAATTTTACTTTGTTTTCTTCTCGTTTTTCATATGTGATATCAATAAATGAGTTTTGTCATGAAGGGAAAGTACTAAAGTAATCAACTAGATATAATAAAATTCTTGTTGTTGATATCAACACAGCGATTTATTTCTAATTAATACATCAGCGAATCGTCCATTCATAGTGTCCTGCAACCGAATCAGATACTCGGTATCCGATCCGGTCTGAATGCCAAACTCACCCGATCAATTCGGATCTCGACGTTTCAATATATTTTTACTATTTCAAATTGCTAATTTATATAAAAGCATAGCAATTCCAACTGGTTCAATCATGATTGAGCGATTTATTGTACTTGAGAATAGGTTCCAGAAGTGGAAAACGGCATTGTTTTACTAAAAGAACACGTTTTTGATGAAAATTCATCTACAGATGGTGATAATGAACTATATGACGAATTGACTGAATACATGGAGACGATAATGAATTATTGAAAAGATGAATCTTTATTATCATGATGAAAAAAGTATTTATGTATGCATTTCACAACGATGACGTTTGGTACCAATACTGCGTTCCATTCCACCGTCGTCTGGAAAAAGCAAACTTACACTTAATGAAACTGTGTTTATGTGCCATAACATATGATTGAGACTCAATGTTCGATAAATTTTGACTACATAAAATGACTTCCATCAAACACAATTTATAATCAGTTCGTAGTAATCTTTGATGATACCAAAGATAAGAAGTGAACTAATATTTAATATATTTTGTTTTGATCTAAAGTGTGAAGTATTATGCACACTATAATCTTGCGTGACATCTTTCTCGTAAAAAATTTCGCGTGACATTTAGCTTATCAATCAAATTTTCTCGTTTTATCTCTTGCTTTTTTAGTTGATTTATTTATCATTCACCGGCTTTCATTTGATAGTACGCTGATCGTTTTTAGGATGGATTATCTAATCTCAGCTTTATTTTACATCTCGCGTGATAGAAAATCAATCAATGACTATTGATCTGAGATCCAGAAAGAATAATTAGAAAAAAAATCATGATAAAAACATCAATCAGTCTTATGTTTGAAAAGTGTAAGTTGTTTTCTATAATTCTGTCATTTTCTAAAGTTTAAATGAGAAAAGATGAAATCAATTATATGACATGTTTCAACAGTAGATAATAGCAAAAGTTGATCTTTCAGACATCATCTGCTTAGTATTTTAGAATTTACCTAAGATAAATCCATGATTTTTTTTTTGAGTAATAGTGAAGAGTTATCAGAAGAACTTAATCTGAAAAAATCATAAAGTTTGATTGAAAATAACTCTAGATATTGAACTTTACCACATTAAACTGTAACGGTACAATAAATTTGCAATTCACTCATATATAATTATATATTTATTTTAATAATAATTAATATATGTCTATATGACTAATAACAATGGCGTATTTTAGCAAAAAAAGAATCTTAAAATCTTCGTTTTTTTTTGCGAAAAGATCAAAATGATTGTATCGACTGTTCGATTCTTTAACAAAAGTAAAAGTCCATTTCGGTGAGACTACAAAAATATTCTCTTCTATCATTTTAAAACGAGTGAAAAGATATACTGTATTTGTAATAGTATCATCGTTTAATTTACATGTTCTCAATAAACTCACTAAATTCCTACGCAAAAAAAAAATCACCATATTCATTATTTTTTTCAAAAACAGTAAAGGTAATATACATGAAAAAATGAATGCCAAAAGAATATTAATATAAAGTTTATCAAATCTATCCTATAAAAGACGTATGCGTTAGTTATTCCTACATTGCTGTTCTATTTCAACTAGTGGAGTAACTAGGAGACCGTTGGTGGTAGGGGAGTGCCCTATGATCTTAGCGAAAATCCATGCAATACAGTGTCGATGATGAGAATTTTTACGTTTCTCTTTCTTCTGATGATGGGAGGAAGGCGATCAATGATAAGACGGCTTTCCAGCCTAATCCACCCTTGGTTAATCTACGAATTTAAACATAATAGTTATATATTATTATATGAACAGATCAATATAGTTCGTGCCTATAAGTTCTTTAACAAAGTTAGTGCATGCCAGAGACCTAATCGAACTGAGTTTCCTTGATTCGATTTCGGAGTCGTTTTCTGTCTCTGAGGCATACTATATTTTTATGAACTTTTTTGAAAACTCTAACTATGAATGAGAATAGATATCACTTAATCTGCCACATTTCAAAAGCATTAGCAGTAATGGTATAATATTAAAAAAAAACTATTTTTACTGAAGTTTATGTCCGATGTTCATGATATTATCATAAGAAAGACAAGTGTGTAATATAAACTGTATCGTTAATGATGTTCAATGTACTCTAATTTTTATTTTACCAAATGGTGCACTCTTAATACGTTTGTATATTATAAAAAATAAAAGAAATACATATCGTATCTTCATCATTACAATGATTATAGTTTTTTTTCTCTTTTAATTCAAATTGTTTTATTTATTATGAATAAATAATCATATCTATGTCATGGGATGACTAAGATTCACCTTACGATATTTCAACTTATTGCATCTTTTTCTCACAAACGTATTTTCTTTTTTTCCTATCCTCCGCTTCATAGTATATAGGTTTTTCCTTTTTTTGTTCTACTTATTACTGAGACTTCTCCTTTCTCTCTCATTATGTTTGTTAAACCTTTCCCATCTAGTTTATCATCATCGATATTTCCACTGCATCCACTCTTATATATTTGAGTGTGATTTCAGAATAAATGATATTCGATCAGATATTCATCTTTTTCGACGTTCAGAGTTAACTATCTAAGAATTTCTCATCCTTTCAGAGTTAGATTCATCGAAGACAAAAAAAACTTTAAAAATATTTCTAAGAAAATTATAGTTTTAATTTTTTTACCACACGAAAGTAAATCAACACATAGATAGTATAGTATCAGAGTTAAGCCTATTAGTCATCAAAATTTCTCCAATGATAGAAATGAAATACTCCCGACCTCTTTCTTTAACTCTACAATCAATGTCAATTGACTAACCTCTTATATGTTATATATAAATGAATCATCGGATTGTTTCTCTTTATGATTAAATTTGTTTCGTTGTTATGATTGATGACAGTGAACAAATGATTAGCTTTATTCTCATATAAAGATCTGATTAAAAATAAATCATAATAATGTCCATTGAAACTTTTCGTTGTTTTTTACTCGTTTTATTTCTTATTCTTAATGGTTATATTCAAGGTATGTTGTTTTTATTTTTTTAATATTGTTTGAATTTGTTTTAATTTTATCTTTAAGGAGAAAATTCAACAGATGTAAATACCACATTAATATCTGTACCAGTAGCTGAAGCTACAACAACTAGTCCAGAGACAGGTTTGTATATATTAATATATATATAATATTTCAAATAAAATTCCTGTTATTATTTAGATGAGTCGACTTTATTATTATGTCCCGAAGGTCATATTAACCCTCCAAACTGTACACAATGTCCATTAAATTATCAAAACAAAGATAACAAATGTTTTGAAATAAAAAGTAAGTTTAATTAGAAATAAATATTTTATTTATTCATATGTTGTTTAGGTGAATTAAGACCATCAAATAGTACAGGTCGTCGTATTTTGTTAATAGTGTTTATTTGTTTATTATCAGTATTTGCAATTTTTGCTATGGTTATTGTTTATATTCATTTAAATCAAAAACATCATCATCGTTTAACATCCAATCAAGGAGATAATTTAAATTTATCAACTAATAATACGAATATTAATAATCGTTTTAATAATATATTAAGATCAATTGGTTGGATTAATCGTAATAAACGTAGAGGATTTAATTTCTTTTCAATTTCAAATAATAATCAATCATCTGGACAATATCGACAACCAGATACATCACGTGCAGATTTAAATGAAAATCTTGATGAAGCTTTATTATTCGATGATCCATATGCTGATGGTGGACTTCATAATTCATCAGCTAATCCATATAAATCATTAACACTTGCTATTACTTAAATAATTAATTGTTGGTTTTGTTACATGACATATTTCTCATTTTCAGTATAGAATTACAAAAAAAACATAAAAAAATTTAAGAAATATTTGGCGTAATCTCGTATGCTTTCTCATTTCTTATTCTATTTCACGGCTAATTTATATAAAATGAAAAACTTTGTTTTTCTGTTTTCTTTTTGTTGTTATTCGTGTTTTTTTGTGTATATTAACTACATATCTCGTTTTGAATTTAAAATAAAAATTTTCATTATTAATTATTTTAAGTGATTGGAAGGCTAAAATTCAAACAGTTTTACTAAAAAAGTTCATTGGATGAAATAAAAACTCAATTGAAGTTAAAAAAACGAATATTTTAGAGAATTAGATTAAAATGATGCCTAATAAGTCATATTCATATATGACATATTATTTAAGACTGGTTTATGTAAAATGACTTTCTCAAAAACAGAAATCCTATCCTTTCTAATGAATAATGATGTATCATCAATAGATATTATATTAACTGTTTTTAAATAGGGTCGAGTGTGAATTCAAAAGAATCAATACTCTTAAGAATTAATTCATAAACTGAATAATTTATTTAACCGTTTAAGTACGGGCAGCGTGAATTCGCGCCTTCTGAATAGCTTCTACAAGTATGACGCATTAATTATTCAATGAAATTTACAAATGATTATTGATTATCTCTACGGGTGTCCCGAGTAGGGAGAGGGTCGAGGAAATGACTCTTCGGTCTTAAAAAAATTTTCGTTTATCTCCAGCGTTTTATTGTTTTTTTGCTCATCAATTGCCAAAAAAAGCTCAACAACCTCCAAAATCCGATTGCCTATAGCAAAAATCTTCCAATCGATCTTCTGAATCATCGATGTCTGGACCAGCCGGACGGGCTCTACTAGGGACACTCCTGGTTGTCCCTTAAGATTTGAAGTGATCATCATACGATTCAATGAGTTAGAATATCGGTCAGTTTGATATCACTTTTGAAAAAAGAACTAGAGAAACAAAATGATGTCTCATAAAACTAACGATAATCATTCAACAGTGATACCTGTAAGACAGATCTTGATGGAATAATTGCACTTCATTAATATTATTACATGTATGTTTTGACATAGAAGGATCACAAGTCAATCATCTTCAACTTATACATTGTCTTTTTTCTCTATGTTTCTGCTGTGCTACACTGACGTCATGATCTCTATTGTCTTTGATATGTTCTTTGAAAAAACTTCGAATAAGTTCTCACTCTCTGATTTGTATATGTATTTATAAAATTGTTTTATTCTTATTGTTTCAACGAAAATCTGATTTCTACCTATTTTGTATTATTTTCATATCCTTTATTGACGAAGCATAACTGCATTTAACTGAAAATCTAAGGAAAAAATAATCACCGAACACATAATGAATTTACAAAATGGTAGTAAGTCCGAAAATGATTCATATGAAATTTTTATTTTTTTATTTTTGGAAAATTGATACTTGTAGCACATGCTCGGTTTCAGTTTTTTTAAATATTTGATGAAATTCTATTCGAGAATCCTAATTAATATTGAATAAAAATATTGATTCATAATGAAAATAGTTCTCCGCTATAATAGATCGTAGTTACTTCAGTCGTATTGCTTTCTATATTATTTCTAATATAAGAAGCGGTAAAGCTCTGCAATTGTATATGTCATTCTTCGTATAAAATCTTTTTGTTTCATTATTATTCTACTCTGATAAGATATTTTATTCATAATGATATGTTCTATCGTAAAACAACATGATTTTCCTTTTCTTGTTGTTTAATGTAGCTGAATTAATTTTATAAAATCCAAAAGTTCTAAAGCACATTGATATTAATCCTCACGAATATTTCTAAAAAATAATAATAATGTATAGTTGTATTAGCATCATAAATGTCTTTTTATCCTTTCATGGCGGGATATTTTAAGGGAAAATATGTGTGTATTTTGGCAAAAATAGTCGTTTTTACGATTTATAAAAATTTGCGCACCTGAAAGTAACAGCACTCTCTTTCATTGCCTCAAGTCTCAGCACTCAATAGCCTCCGCCAGACCCGTAGCCAGGAATTTCTTAAGGGCATACACGCCAGCACAGAAGATATTCGATCCTGTGAATAGTATTTTAGTCCTATATTCCTCTCTAGACGTTTTCCGCTTCAAGGGAGAGGGTTGCATGAGCACTCTGTGCACTTTCTGAACTCCAATCTTTATAATATAATTTTTATTAGAAGTCTTTCGATGTATGGATAGAATTATTGTATTGAAGATTTTTGAGACAGAATGAGAGACGCTTGAAGTTTTGCACTAGAAGTATGTCTTTCCTACAAAACTTTCGATCCCTCATAGTCTCTCTCTCGTTATAGTAGAAAGAGCTCCTTAGATACAAGTATCAAATTGCACTTCGAATACCATTTGATATCCATATCTGAGGAAAAATGTCACCGTCCTACATATCAGACACCCACTGCGAACAGATTAAATAAAACAAACACTTTCAAAAAACGACAAAAATTCAAGTAAATAAGTGAATACTAAAATTCAACTATCTACTAGATCAATAAAAACACTTGAGTATTGATCAATATGTTTTCAACAAATCAATTTGATTTAACAGTTCCTAATTGTTCAATTAACATCAAGAAACTCTATATAACTGTAATGATCTTTTATTTTTTTCACTATTATTTTATTATTGTGTATAGAACATTTATTATCATTAAAGCATTTGTTTTTTCGAAAAATATAAAAACTTTTTTCTTTCGAATTTATTTTTCTAATTAATAAATCGAATAGATAAAAAAATTTCGATACTATTCATGATCGAATATGAGATTTTAATATATTATCAAAAGAAGAAAAAAAAAATACTAATATATTAAAAAAAACAAACAACTGCAATGTATTCAGTTTAGAAGACAAACACATCTTTGAGATGGTTTTGTTTTTCACCAAAGATATAAAATAAAATAATAACGATGAATATATATATATATATATATATACCATATATTCTATCTAATAAGACGGTGTTGAATCAGCACTACGACTATTACTATCTGAACTCGATCTAATATCTTGTTGACGACAATAGTCATCGATTTGTTGTAAAAGTTCATATTCACTTCGTTGTTTAGTATTATTTGATAGTTGTTGATAACAATCAAAATTTGTTTGATATGGAATAAATGATATATGTGATGATTGTAAATTATTTTCTAATATTTGATAAATTGAATTTATCATATCATTATTATTATTATTATTATTATTATTATTATTATTATCATTATTATTATCATTATTATTATTATCATTATTAATAGATGTTAATTTTTTTGTATTATTAATTTTTGATGAAGTTTGTGAATGTAAACCACGTTTTAATGTCATACGATGACGATTTTTAATATGTTCTCGTTGTCGATATTCGGAATTTTTACGACGCATTTCAGCCATATGTCTACGATTTTGACAACGTTCATGTTCACGATATAATGGATTTTCTAAACGTTTTTTACGCATAGCACGTGCATTATTTTCACGTTCCATACGACGATATTCAGAATCAATTGCACCACGTAATCGAGACATATAAATAGCACGTTTTTCTTTTGATGTTAATTGCGTTTCTTGAATTTTTTCTTTAGAATTTATTTCCATTTGATTTGTATTCATTTATTGTTATTGTTGTTGTTGTTGTTGTTGTATCTATCAGAATATTATAGACATTTTTCTTTTTTTTTTTTTTATAAAGAATAGAAATCAAAATTTTTATTACGATTATAAAACGACGAATAAGTTTAATAGATCAATGTAAAATTGTTATCATTGTATTTTTTTTGGAAACGAGCTTTGATTATATAATGTGTTAAAATCTGTATAAAGCATTATCGCATAGTCAATTTTTCAAAAGAAATTGAATAAAAATAACGTAGATATGTGAATAACAAAAAAAAAAAGAAGCTAAGAAACAATTGTATGTGTACTTTAGAGTGACTAATTCATTCGATTGATGATTGGGTTTGATTTGTTAAAATAAAATGATTATGATTTTCTCAAGTTTTCTTTGAAAAATAAATGAAAAATATAAATATCAGTTTAAAAAAACATGATATTGATAATATGTTAAATTGCGCCATCTATTGACTATTTTCTAACTGAGGACGACAAAGTATAATAAGGTTTTCAATCGAAATTCATATTTCATATGAATTATTTGAAATTTTGTTTTTTTTTATCGTAATTTTCCTTTTAAAGTTTAATCAACGGATCATCTCCAATTTCGTGGTTCTTGTCAATCCGCCAAGAAGTTCTACTGAATACCAATCAAACAAGTTTATCGTTAAATGTTTTTCTATTTTGTTTTATTTTTTTCTATAGATTGAAGAAAAAGGAAGTCGACAAAAAAAGGCAACATGTTTTTCTCTTAATTATTTATTTTTTGTTCGTATCAATAAAGTGCGATAACTGAATTACTTGGCAGTCCTATAAATCATTGTTTATAGAAAACAATGATACAATATTTTATTATTTTCAACTATAGTATCATATAGAAATACATATATGTATATGTCAATATGACTTTTGTCGCACATTATGGCCGATAATATGCCTCTCCTGTTCGAATATATATAGGTCGCTAAGAAAAGAAACAGAAACAAATGTTCTGTTTTGATGTAAGAGTGGTACAAACTATTTTCTATTATTGAAATCAAGCAGACTTAATATAACGAGAAGAAAACAAATATAATAGTTATCGATGGTTGAGACGTAAGTACTATTGTTTTTTGTTATTAAATAATAAAAAAGTAGGAAGATATAATAGTTGAGTGTTCAGAAAAATGGAAAAGACCGTATAAGTTTTTTTTTTGATCTTTTGTAACTTTTTATTTTGCGTTAGGATGATCAGATGATAGATTTGCAATTTCTAGTAGGACAAGAAAAAAAAGTATATCTCATCATAGTAGAGATCGAAAGAAATTTTTTTTTCCCCTTCGTAAAGATTATTATTAATGCAATTATTGCTACTAATAATATTTTGTAATAGGATGGAAAAAAATGATTATCAGACTTTGAGTAAGTATAATACATGCCTATTGTTTTCTTGTATTGATCTTTATTTGAATTCTAAGCATGAACTTCTTCGTTTCCTTTTCTGTTTTGTATTCTTTTATTAGAATGATATATTCTATGATGATATTGATTATTTTTGTATTCTTATAAATATTTTTAGATGGTACCCCATTAATTAATGAAGATAAATCTTATCTAAAATCAAAAACGAATTCTGATTTCAGTAAAGTAACATATAATAATATATTAAAATTATCAGAACACCGACCATCATTGTGTCCGAGAATGCCTAATATAAAAGTATTTGGTGGTTCATCTCATCCTGGATTGACAAAATTAATTTGTACGCGACTTGGTTTAGAACCAGGAAGAGTTGTAGCAAAAAAATTTAGTAATCGAGAAACAAAGTAAAACAAAAAAGAATAATCTTTTGTTTGTTTTTTAAAAAACAATTCAAAATTTATTAATTAAAGTGTTGAAATCAATGAATCTGTTCGTGGTGAAGATGTTTTCATTGTTCAAAGTGGTTGTGGAGAAATTAATGATAACTTAATGGAATTATTAATTATGATCAATGCATGTAAAATAGCATCAGCTTCTCGAGTTACTGCTGTCATTCCATGTTTTCCTTATGCAAGACAAGATCGAAAAGATAAAGTGAGAGATTTTATTTTATTTCTTCTTTTTATACAAAAAAAAGAAAACTAATTCATCAAGAAAAAAGTTTTTATCTTTTTTTTTTTTTTTGAAAATTAATAGAGTCGTGCACCAATTTCAGCTAAACTTGTAGCAAATATGTTGAGTGTCGCCGGTGCTGATCATATAATTACAATGGATTTACATGCATCTCAAATCCAAGTATTCATTTTTTTTTCTATTAATATACTTAATAAAAACCTAAAATTTCATAGGGTTTTTTCGATATTCCTGTTGATAATCTATTTGCTGAACCAGCTGTCATTCGTTGGATACAATTACATATTCCAGATTTCAAAAATGCTGTCATTGTCAGTCCTGATGCTGGAGGTGAAAAAAAATAAATCTTTGATGGAAAATAAATAATTCTATTCTTTTAATTTTAGGTGCTAAACGGTACATTTGACATGAGATTTTTTTTTTTCTTTCTCTATTTAACGAATATTTACTATTCGTACAGTGTAACATCCATTGCTGATCGATTGAACATTGATTTTGCACTTATTCATAAAGAACGAAAAAAAGCTAATGAAATCGATTCTATGGTGCTCGTTGGTGATGTCACAAAACGTATCGCTATTCTAGTTGATGATATGGCTGGTATGTTATGCTTAGAATTCATGAAGTTATTTTTTTTTTAATCTTTTTTAGATACGTGTGGTACATTTGAATATGCATCACAAAAGTAATAAAAAAATATATAAGAATTTTTCTTTTTGATATATTCGTTTTGTTTTTTTTTCCATGATGATTTAATATAGATTATTAAGTGCAGGTGCAAGTAAAGTTTATGCTATTTGTACTCATGGAATCTTTAGTGGACCGGCTATATCGAGAATAAATAATTCACCATTTGAAGCTGTTGTTGTTACAAATACGATTCCACAAGAAGAAAATATGAAAAATTCAAATAAAATTCAGGTAGAAAAAATAATTATCTCAATTAATGTTACACGTGTTTATTACTTTCTATATACAGGTGTTTTTTTTCACATAGTTAAAATATACGATCCTTAAAACTTCCTTTTCTTCCTTATATTAGTCATTATTATGACGCAGTTAGAGAAAAAAAAATGATACATACTCATATTGTCCTTATTCATTGTATGTATAGAAATATATTTTGATAAAAGAAACTTCGCAATTATTTTTATCATAATATCTTTGTTTTTAGCAATCGAATATTCTGATAATACGAAATAATTCCATATTTAATAATAATAAATCTCATTAAGATCATAACTGATATATATGAATTCTAGAAAACTTAAGCAAAACTACTTATGCTAATAATATCGACACATAGAAAAAGAAAATTATTTAAATAGAATGATTACGAAGAATTTATGTTTGTATAAGTGTATATTACTATTAAAGGATATATCGGATATTAATGATATATCATCATGTTAATTATCAGAGATCCAAGCAGTTCGAATTTTTGCAGAACAGATCAACCTGCCATAAGCCTACACTATTTCCAGGGTATCCACATCTGTTATCTTATTTTGTCCTTCTGATCTATTTGTCTATCACAAACACATGTAGGTTGACAGACTTGGAGACCTAGTTAGAGTTCTGTTGTGTATAGCTAGAAAGTTTAAAGTGCAAATAATTAATATTATTTACTGGATGTATACATAAAAACAATAACAAGTTACTACAATGAGGAAAATCTTATTTATTTGTTTGATAATTTTAATTTCTTATCATTGAATTGAATAAAGAAAGAAATTTTGTTGTATATATATATATATTTAGGTGATTGATGTATCAATGATGTTCTCGGAAGCGATTCGTCGAACACATAATGGTGAATCGGTCTCTTATTTATTCACTCAAATGCCATTATAAAACCTAATTATATATCAATGACAATACACCAATAAAGCAAAAAACAAAAGCAGTTTAATCAAGAAAAACAATTGGTTGTGATAAAACGTTATTTTTCTTTGTTTATTTTTGGTTTGGCATACTATTGAAGCACCTACATATTTTAGTGATCCAATAAAGCTACATTTTTCTTCTTTATTTTTTTTTTTGATACCCTTTTGCCATTTCGTATGATTGTTTTCATCTTTTTCGCGTATTCTTCAAACTATTATCAATTTTTCTCTAAATGAATAAAACAAACAAAAGTGGAAGTGATTCAACGAATGTTTCGACCTCTCGATTGTATTCGAATGAATGACGAAACGAAAAAAATCAATAGAAAAAAAAAACTTATTATGTTTTCAGGACTTCAAAACATTTCTTTTATCAAATGGAAATTCTGTTCATATTGTAGAATTTTTATTATTTCTAGAGAAACATCTGATATGAATAAATGTGTATTGAAATACTAGGGATTATGTTGATCCATACTATAAAATGATGTCTATAATGATTAGAAAATTTTATCTGATTATGAATGAATGAATCAAGGAAAAAAAATAACCATTCAGATCATATAGGCTTGATATTACTCGGACAAAGAATACATCCAGTCATAAAATATCTATCCAAAAAAAAAAGAGCAAAGAAAACAATGAAATATAAAGTAACAATAGTAGAATAAAAAGAGTTTTGATTTGAAACTAACATATATCTCAACTTATAAACCAGAGTTAAAATTTAATTAACTCTTTGCTCACTGACGACCCACCTACGCATCATGAAGTTTATCGTCATGTGAAACTAATGTAAGCGCTTACAACGCATTTTTTTCCTATATATTTGAGTCAGAGTTAACGTCAAAGAGTAGATGCTTCCTACCGTGACATTTCGTTACAGCACATATTAGATTTATGTGTTAAGAAAAAAAAAAGTGCATGATATATAGGTACTATATTTTACGTAGATATATCTTTTGTCAATAAACAAAAGGGTATCTATATATATATTTTAGAAATACATTATGACCAATGTAATGAAGTGATGATTAATAGAAAACCAATCATCCGTTGATTTTATCTTAATTAATAAAAATATGACTAAAATCTCAATTTATTCGTTACACTGATAGTCGGTAGTTTACAATGTAGTTTTGATTAGTTTAATGGTATACTTGCATAGAGTTACATGTAAATTAAGACCTGTTCATTGTATCTTAATATGTGTTTACTTGTTAAGGATACGATTGTAATGACACTTGAAAGGTTCTATATATATGTATATATATATGTGCGTGTGTGTGTGTGCATATAAAGGTATTTGTCATTCCTTACATAACCTATTATACTCTTTTATCTCTGAAGGTGTCGTCGATTTATTTAAACAAATTATATTCACATGTTTGATAACAACGCTTCTTATTTATATTTAAATGAATTTTTAACATCATCATCTTTAAATAAGAAAGAATTAAATACAAAGGTATCAAAATGTTTTGAATATCGACCAAATCGAACTCGTATTTGTCGAATACCAACTGAAACATTAGAAAATGGTCACCGAACAAAACATATACTATTATTTCGTGACGACATTGTCAAACGTAATAAACAATGGAGACGAAAACATCTACCAATGCAACAACTAAAACAAAAACATCAATTATTTGAAGAAAATTTTCGTAATAAAAATCAAGAATTGATAGATGAACAATTACATTTAGAAAATCATCTTACAAAACTTCAAACACCTATAAAAGATTTCAAAACTATAATAAATAACAATGTTTGTATGGATTCTTCTACTGATTTGCTTTTAATAGATAAAGAAACAACACCATTATCGTTTAATCAATATTCAGATGAATTTAGTCCTTTTAGTTTGTAAATAACAAAGGCTTTAAATATTAATTATAATATTAATGATGATCTCGACAATTAATGATTAAATTTATTAGAAATTTTCATTTTCTTTTGTTGTTCTATGTTAATATTGAAAATAAATGTAGACAGATGGATGTTTTTTGATGTACAGGATAAGAAATTATGTTTTTTTCTTCTGAGAAAGAACGACTTCAAATACAAAGGATAACAACATTCAGTTTTATACCAAATGAAAGTTCGTTAAAAATGGAATTTAGAAGTATATAACTCACAATTCATAGAATGATCATGACTTAGAGAATTACCCAAAGTTTCAAAAATTCAGACATGTAATTGAAGATTATGGGTAGGCAACTACAAAAAACAACAAATTGGTCACATGAAGCGTTTCATCTATCAAGTTTTGTAGAACTTTCTTTTTTGATCATTTAGATAGAAAGATATTGTTTGAATATGATAAATAAATGACAGTGTTAGGTTCAAAATACAAAAAATATTTGAGACAACTCTGTCTCTATTACAACTATGATGTTTTCAGTAGATTGACTTTAGTACAATGATTTATTTATCAAAATAATCGACATAGAAAGTTCTATAAAGTTTGATAGGCGAAATATTTTCTGAGATCTATTTGTTTTTCGTAGTTGACTACTCATAATCCTCAATTATAAACCTGACGTTTTGAACTTTTAGTAATTCACTAGGCCAGGTCAAGGAGAACGTACCTATTCAAAATTTCACAATCATTGACCTGAGAAGGTCATGATTATTCTATGAATTATTAGTTATACCGTTGAATATCGTTTTCAACGAGCTTTTGTTTGGTAAAAAATTTAATATTGTTATGATTTGTATTTTATGCTGTATTCCACTGAAAAAATTTTATTTCCAAGTCTGTTTATCTATTTATTTTACAAAAGTTAAAACTTAAAATTACTTTTGTTAAATTCAATTCTTCATGATGCCGTATTTTTGGTTGATATGATCTGATCAATGGTTATTCTTATGTGTATATCATTTTATTTAAAAATTCATAAAAATTTAATTTAAAAACTGTGAAGTTTACCTGAAAGTCATGATAAGCATCTCTAATACCTGAATAACATCAGACAAAAAAAAATACGAAAGTATAGAAAAAGACGAATGTCTATTCATTTTGTTTTTTCGTCTTTATTAAATACATATGTCAACTCAGCTATAATCAATGTGAAAATGTCTCATAAAAACATTCAAATCCTTAATTGAATATGTTTATGACTAATTCAACCGTCATATTTTATTATCTTATTTTTTAACATCATTTTTTTTTAGTAATTATCAATTCGCAAGTGATTTTTTCTGTGATATAAATCATTTTGAGTAATAATTATCATTGCAGTATGTATTTGGCTTCGTAATATTCTCAACACAATACATTTCTATGAGTTTTAAGGTACATTACGGCTATATAAGAAATAGTTACTTCGTCAAATGTAGTTGATTTCATATGAAAAATTAGAAATGAGAATACGAATAAAATACAGACAGAAAATTTTTATTATTGAAAAGAGTAGATTTTATACAACAAATTCATGAATAAAAATCAAATCTAGCAAAGTAATATCGAAGATGATAAAACGCTTGTATACTTATTTTGAAACCCATTATGTTTCTGATTTGGTTTTTTTTTGTTTTGCATATAACAATAAAAAGGACGTGTACATCTTATTTCCAAAGTTGTTAATGTCTATTGATCATATTAAATATAATATTTCACTAATTTTGTTCATTTTGAAAAATTTCATTCTGGATTTCAAAATAATAAATAATAACAAAATTGAAATTTTTAAATTTCCATATGCATATATATAATGGCTCTCAAAATTATTTTGCTAAGTTTATTTTCAATTTTTTTTCACTGCCATAAACACAAAAAGAAAAGCATCCAAGCAGTGATTTTGTATAGGAAATAAAATTCTCTAGAGAAATAATTATTTACATTCTTATTAACATTGACGATAGTAAAGAAAAATTAAAAAATAAACTTTGTCGAATAATTTTTAGAGCTATTGTAAGTTATATGAATATTTTTGCTTGTATAAATATCTTTAGATGTAAATTTGTATGATTAATAAAATTGAATTTCTATGTTAATTGTTTAAATTCTTTTGGTATAATACAAATAGGAATTTCTTTCATTTTATGTGTATTTGCTTGATGTCGTTGTGAATAAATATTCATAACTTTTTTTTCTCGTTCAGTCATTTGTTCACTATCATATTTTGTTTCATATTGTTTCATTGCCCATTCAAGTTCATCATATGTAGCTTCAATTTGTGCTTCATCTGTACGCATATCACCATAAAGACCATCAGTTGGTGGTGCATTAATAATAGATTGATCTATATCTAATTCACGAGCTAATGCACGAACTTCAGATTTAAGAAGATCACCAATTGGATTGATATCGACACCACCATCCCCTAATTCATAAAATATTTCTATTCAATCAAAAGAAAAACAAGGAACAAGTGAATAATATTTACCATATTTAGTAAAAAAACCAACACCATAATCTTCTACTTTATTTCCAGTACCAACTACAAGATGTCCATTTACTTGAGCAAAATAATAAAGAGTAGTCTAAATAATGAAAATGAATAATGAAATTTTAAAAGAAATATTTTCTTTTTTTGTTTTTTGTTTACCATTCGTATTCGTGATTGTACATTAGCAAGTGCTAATTCAGTTTTATCATTCGATTGTAATCTTGTACATGTTTCTTTTAATTTGCTATAAGCTTCTGTTAAATTAATATTCATTGAACGTATCTGATCATTACCATATTTGTTTTTTAGCCATTCTACATGAATCGATTTACGATTTTCTTTAGTTTTCGATAGATTAATTGGTAATTCAAGAGCAAGTAAAGGTAATCCAGTACGAGCACATAAAGTTGATACAACAGATGAATCAATACCATTCGAAATTCCGACCGTAAAACCTTTAATGTATGAATTTTGTACTGCATAATCTTTTAACCATTTAACGATATGATCGATAATCTTGCCCGTTTGCATACTTATATTTACTTAGTGTATATCCTTGAATCTGCAAGAATAGATGAATAAATAGCATACCTTTTTTTTCATCATATAAGAAAGCAAGAACGATAAAGTTTTTACATAGAAATTGCAAGAACAAGAAATGTATGAAAAAAAGCATGTATATATTTTCTCTATATAATAAATTAGAATGAAAATTTTAATATAACAAAATCATCACAGATGACTTGTAGAAATTTCGAATATTCTTTTATTGTATATTTAATGTATTTAGATATTCATTTTAAATATACAATAAGATTGTTTTATGTAATTTATACAGACAGATTTTTTTTTGCTGTTTTTTTATTTATCATACTCACTTTAACATAAGCGAATGAATTGAGTCATTACGATTCCAGATGGCGACACAATTAAATAATAAACAAAAGCCTTAAAAATACTGAATGATCATTTTCATAAGCTCCTTAATAACTTTCCTAGATGTATCATACGCACACGTGTATAGGGCGCTACTCCTGCAATAGAAAACAATGATTATGCTTGTGAAAAAAAAGCATAACTTGTATGAAGGGTGACTGTCATAAGCAAAAAAGAGAACGAAAAAAACGAAAACAAAAAACAGAAATATCTAAAATAAATGATTGAAAGCGTGATATTATGATGGTGCTTGTCATTCAATTGGTATCTATAAAGTTTCTATGACAGAACAAAACGTATTACCGTACTTCATTGAATCTAGAATATGTCACGTCAATCATGAAAAAAAAAAAGATATATTTATATGACTTATCAAAGTATGAACATTCAAGATTAAGAAGAAGGAAGAATACCTCTATCTTTCGGCTATCTTGCGGTAAAGAGTGTTGTCTAGTGGCAGATTCAATAGTTCGATATCTTCCTTACACTTTTGACTAGTTGAAACTCTGGACAGAAAATCAGTCTGACACAGAATTCTTGCGCTCAATTGCTTGAGCTCTCCATGCACTAACTAACCACAAGAACCGGTGTATGTCACAACGTAGTCAACGTGCTATCAGACGAGTGACCCGAAACAAACAACCGTTAGTGACTTGCTCAGAGTCATGCCATAGTTCGTTATAGCGAGCTTTGAATACAACATCCTATGGATACGTGTCGAGCGACATAGTCATTCAATAAAGATAGATGGATTTAAGATTAACAGTATACTTGTGACAAAATTCACTCACTATTTCTATTGATAATCTGTAGTAATTAGAATTAAATTATTCAAAAATGATTATAAAAAATAATTTCATCTAATTGCCAAAATAATATTTTTCTCATTCTTTCAGCTATTGTTTAAAACTTATCTACCGGCTCAACGCCATCATGGTTAAGTTGCTATGTTGTTCGACACATATCCATAAGATACTATGTGCAAACTTCAATACCAGTAGCCATGAAATGACGCTGAACAAGTCACTGACGGCTATTTGTTTTTGATCACCCGTTCGATAGCATGCCGACAACGTTATGATAATACATCTACTCATGCAGTCAGTTAGTGTGTATGGGAAGCTCAAATACTGTGCGGTAGGTCGGTCTTCTGTCCAGCCCTACAGCTAGTCATAGTTGGAGGGAAGAGGATGTGGGTTATTGAATCTACTGCTAGGTAGCACCTCACATTGCAAGGTAGCTGACAGACAGGGTATTCTCCCTTCCTTCTCCTATTGTCTCAAAGCAAAAACAAAATAGCTCACAAACAATCCCAAATAAAAATGAAAAACTTGTCATTTTCTTTATTTCATTTTTTCATAAGCCAATGTAAGACATCGTTCGTAAATCTATGAAAAGACTTTTAGATACAGGAATCTTCATCGAATATTCATACATATTAAAAAAAAAGTTAAACATAAAGATTATATTATCACATAACAATTGAACAACTACAATCATGAGCGCACAATGACTTGTTATAGAAAATCAAAAAAAGAAAAAGAATTAGCGTTCAAATATATAAGATTTTACACTATTGAGAGTAGAACTTGCTGATGTTTCAATAATCTATACTGTTACTCTTGAAATTAATTCTTATTTTTATATTTATTTCGATAAATTCAGTTTATTGTCTCAGTAACTTGTTGAACATCTTTGTTTATTTTTAGTATTATATTAATAGTATCAGAAAAGCGTTAACTTTCTGTGTTTCTGAGAAAGGACACATTTTACTACTCGTAATGATGTCAATTCAGACTACACACTCACTTTATGAAATTTAACACAGTATCAAATAAATATCAGCATAAGCTAACTCACTAATCTCATTATCTGATTTATTCTATCGTAATATTAATACTGAAAAATATTAGTTTTAGTTGAAATTAAATATGGAATTATTTTATTTGTAAAATATGAAACTATATATATAGCATTAAATTTTTTTTGAATAATTTAATTTCTATACTAAATTGACTAAAGAAAAATAAAAAAAGATAACTTAATTTCCTTTCCATTGTGGTTTTCTTTTCTCATTGAATGCTCGAATACCCTCATGACGATCTTCTGTATCAATTAATTGTTCATAATGTTTCAATTCAATTGCTTTAGCTTCATCAGTCGATTTACCCCATCCTTCATCAATAGCTTGTTTTATTGCTCGTGTAGCCAATGGAGCATTAGCAGAAATGATCGTTGCTAATTCAATTCCTTTATTTAATGCTTCATTTTCATTGGTTAATTTTTGTACAATACCCATATCATAAGCTTCTTGAGCAGTTAATCGTTGACCAGTAATAGCAATATGTTTGGCTCGAGCTGGACCAACAAGACGAGCAAGTAATTGAGTTCCACCACCACCAGGCATAATACCACGAGTCACTTCAGGTAATCCAAATAATGCTGAACGAGATGCAATAATCATATCACAATTAAGAGCTAATTCAAAACCACCAGCTAGATAAATAAAGAATAAATTGATGTTTTCAAAAATTCAATAATCTAATGTCTACCTAAAGCAAATCCTTCGACGCAAGCAATTGTTGGTTGTTTTAATTGTGCTAACGAATTGAACATACGTTCGAATACATGATGCTGTTGCATCCATTGTTTGGAATTTTTTATTGATTGACGTTCTTTAAGATCAGCACCTGAACAAAATGATTGACCTTGACCAGAAATAATTACAACTGTTCGATTATCATTCGATGTATGAATACGATCACAATGAGCAATCAATTCATGTGCTAATTCTGTATTAAAAGCATTATGATATGATGGACGATTAAGCAACAAATGCCATATATGATTAGATATTCCATTAAGACGAACAAATGAATTCTGTGTCATAATTCTATAGTGAAAATAAGATATTTTTCACAAACATACTTTTTATTGTCATTCAAAGTTTTTTTTTGTATTCTCAATTATAATAGAAATGTGTTACAAATGAAAAAAAAACAACACATGAAGTTTTTAAAAAGAAATCATTTAAGAATGGGAAGATATCCTTAATCACAATCGCAAGTTTATGTTGATCTATTGTCTTGTTATTCGTTTTTTATTCATCTTGAACATATGAAAGTTGATGAACACTTGAATCAAGTTTTGCCGGTTCTTTTTGATGTTTTTCATCAGCTTCAACAATTTTTTCTGCATCTTCTTTTTTAATTGTACCACGATTATTAAGTGTTGTATTAACAATTGAACAAACTTTTTGGTCAACTTTTGTTTCACCACTTGCTAATTTTTCCCAATATTTTCTTGTTTCTCCAATAACATGTTGTGCATATGCTCGATCACCATATTTTTCATTAAGTGCAAATTTATTCGGAGGTTTTCCTGTTGGAACTTTATAATATTTAAACCAACGACGTGTTGCTTCAAGTAAACCTGGAAGTTGTGTTTCAACATCATTAATATCATTAATCTATAAAAAAAAAAGAAAGAAAAAAGAAGAAAATTTTCTCTTTTGATAATCTAATATTATTTTCAAAATATTACTTTTAATGCAAGCTTGTCACGAATATCAACACCAATTAATTTCCAATCTGTTTCACCTTCATCGATTAAACCAAGTACACCAACTATTTTAACAGGTACAATTGAACCAGTTGAATGAAGAACAGTACCTATTTCACATACATCTAATGGATCATTGTCACCTGTTGTTTTTGTATCTTCATCAACATGATTTGGATCTTCCCATGTTTGTGGTAATGCACCATAATTCCATAAGTAACCATGATAAGGAAATACATTATGAACAAAACGAGGTTTACCTTTTAATAGAAAAAAAAGAAAAATTTTTATAAATTTAATTAAACCAAAAATTGACTAACCATTTTTAACATCTTGTACAAGTGGATTCATTTTTAATTGTTTATTTATTTCCAGTTTAGCATTTGTCCATCGTGGTACTTCAACAACCATATTATAAATTGTTGTACCTTGATTTTGATTTGATGATGAATATTGTTCATTAACAAGTGGAATATCATGAAATGGTGATACAATTAATTTTGTTTGAACATCTCGAAAATACAAACGATAATTAAGTGTATGTAGTTGACCACGTTCAACAACTTCATAACGATTATTTTCATTCTCATTTCCTTGTGGTCCTTTACTTGCTGGTGCTTGACCTTGTGCACCTGCATTTAGATTAGATGTTTTTGGTGTTGTTGACATTGTAGAAAATTTTTTAAAACTAATTGTTAAACTGTTCGATGCAGAAAATGATGAAGTACTTTCTAGAATGAATGAGGATAATGGTAAAATTCGACGAAGTAAAAGCATTGATTTCTGAAAACATAATTTGAAAAAAACAAACAAAAACAGAAGTAAGAAAAATAGAATATTTTAACATGATAACATAATGAATGAAATTATACTTCATCTACATGTATTGACAAGTATATAATACAGGATGCTAGTGTCTTTGGGGATCGATATGAACCAGATTTTGATTGTTTTGAAGGTATTTTTAAAAACTTTATTAGATAAACAAACATCTATGACGATAATCAACGAAAGAAAAAAGTAAAACACAACATTTGGTTTTTTTCAAAAATAATCTTTCATAATAAAAAAAAAGAACCACCTTGAAATGATTCAGTCAAACATTTTCATAAGTTTTTTTTATTCTCTTCCTTTAACGTCAACCATTTAATCGTGAAAGAAGAATGAAAGCAAAGGAAAAAAAAAGAATTTTTTTCTAAGCCCAGGGCAATTTCTATCGTTTAGATATGACAACCTTTTTAAGCAATTATTTGCACAAAGAAACCGATTCTCAATTACGGAAAAAACTCGAATACAACTTGAAATCTAAACTCTTATGTATTGTTAGTAACTATTGCACAATCATAATAGGGTTAAAAGGATAAGCAAATCATTTTTGGTTTCTTCGGGAGTCCAATGGTTAGTTTAAAATTAGTTCCACTAAAATCATCAATATAATTAATTCATAATCGTTACAATTTCTATGATAATTTTCTTGTTTAAAATCTTTTTTTTCTAAATAATTATTCTAATTTGACGAACGCCCTCTATTTTATTTCTATGTTACTATAGTAATAACAAAAATAATGGTTATTCGATCAATCTTTTCTTATTACGAGATAAAAGAATTGAATTTGACAACTAATCTGAATAATGCCACCGAAAGGCAAAAAAGGAAAATTGGAAAAGAACAAATCCAAAGAAAAACAAGAAATTGTACGACCATCTGAAAAAGAAATTGTTTTACAAACAGAGTAAGTTTTTCTTATAAAGATTCTTTAGTACATTTAAGTGAACACTTATGTTATTTTAATCGTATTTTATTTACATATGAAAAATATTATTTTAAGCAAAAAGTTAAAGAAGATTTTGACCAATAAGATTTATTTCGAGAGTTAAAGAATTTTTCGATTTTTTCTTGCCTTCAGACTAAACTTTATTTTAGGCTCGATAATAAAGTAAAAGAATTAGCCGAAATAAAATTACGTGCTCATGCATTGTAAGTTAATTTTTAATTTTTTTAATATATAGTTTAAATTTTTTTAATTTTAATTAAAGTGAAGAAGAAAATCATTGGCTTAATGAAGAAGCAAAGAAAATTCGAATCGAAATGGTAAAATTAAAATTTCATATATCCGTGTAATAGATGATTATATTTTATTACAGGACGAATATATGCATTTTATGTCAAAAAAGACAAATCTTCGACAAACAAAAATTGTAACATTAACTGATTATCATCGAAAAGAAATTGAAGATATTAATCGAGATAAAGAAAATATGTTAAAAGAATATAAACAAAAGAAAGAAGGTATTTTATCAAAATCTTCTATGATTAACGGATATTTCAACATGATTCTCATTGAATCTTTATTCTAGTCTTATCCAATAGACAATTTTCTTCTATAAACTTTTTGCTTTTGTCTTGTGATTGTATTTATTAAACTTAGTAGGCTTGTGCCTCGAAGCCTTCTGTTGACCGAGCTTGGATCGGAACCAACCCAACGGGCTATACTCTAAAAGTAATAGCCAATTATGCATTGATTATTATAAGACAATCGCCAAGATTGTCTAAGAAATGTGTACGATATGTTAACAGGGGTATTCGGAGTGGCTATCAGACTAAGAAATTTCGTTCGATGTTAAGAGTACAATTTGAATCCGACTTCAAAAACACTGGATATAAAAATTCATTTGAAAAATCAACGTCATATTTTCATAGAATAAAAACTTCTCTACCGATTAAGATTAGAGCAAAATTTTTAAATAAAGATTTAATCCTTGAAAAAAAGAATAAATAGTTCAATCGATTATGTGTTATGTCTAATTTTATAGAATTACGATTACAAATAATTGAAAAAGGACAATTATTAATACAAGTAAAAAATGATTTAGAAGCTATGAATGAATACAAAGTATATATATTATTAAAATTAAAAAAAAAAACGTTTTTTTCTTATAAATAAATTTCTATCGATAGTTAATTCAAGAACAACAAAATAATGAAATCAAGCGTTTACAAAATGAAATAACACAAATACGTAGTCAACATGTTAGTGGAATCTCTCGTATGAAATTAACTCATGCTGAAGAACTTCAACAACAACGTACCATTGAAAATGCTAAAATTGAAGAAATTCGACAACAAGCTGATCAGGTTATCTATTTTGTTTTTTTTTTAAATTAATTTTCTTTTTTCCAACTTTAAATAAATATAATTATTAGGAAGCTGAACAATTTCTTTATGATCAAACATTAAATATTCAAAATGAAAATGTTGAATTAAGAAAAGCATTACAAGACATGCTTAAACGAACACAACTATTAAATGATTTAAAACAACGTTTAGAAGAAGAACAATTACATTTGATAAATCGAATTAAGTTAACTGCTGATCTTAGAAAAATACGTTTGGATAAAGTATCAACCAATATACCCGAAGATTTGTCTTAATTGATACTACATTAATAATATAAATTTATTAATTTTATACAGAGAACTATTATTTTATTGTTAAATAAATTTGATCTGAGCAATTTAAAGTTGCATATTTGTTGTCTATTTTAAAAATCATAGTTTGTGTGTGTATTTGTTTTTTGTTTATTGAAACTTATTATACACATTGCACTTAACACTCATATTAAGGCACGAATAAATATATTTCAAAAGAAAAACAAATAAAAAAACAAAAGAATTCAAATTATATTAAAACTTTTGCAAGTTTTTACATTTTCTTCCTAAATGTTTCATAAAACATAAAATCAAATCTTTAAAATATAGCAGTCTAGGTTTATAGACTAGAGATGCACAGGGTAAACTTTTTTTGTATCCTGTATCCTGACTGAGAAAAATTTTTTTACCCTACGCTATCCTGTAGAATATCTACTCTAAGCTTATCCTATAAATAGTAAAAGAGTGTCATAGTAGACTCATTTTTACTCATATGGAATTCTGATATAAAACGAACAGAATGACCTTGTAATTGCATGAATGAGGTATTTCACAATCAGAGAAAATTTTAATTGATGTAAATAATATTTAATGGTAGAAAATGTATGTCAATCATCATTATCCAAGGTCTGTGACACCTACTAGCCGTATTTTTCTTCTAAACTCTAATAACTTTTGTTCTATAATGGTATTTTAATGATATTCAAAAAACTATTAGCACAATCTCTGTAACATTAATATGTGAAATACAAAATAATTGCTTTTACTAATAGAATGAGGTGTTTGACAAATCGCTTTGAGTCAAGACTGTATACAGTAGGATGCAAAAAAAATGCCGCTCAATATTTCTGTTAGGAGCGTTGTATAATGAAACTTTTTTTGTTTGATAGATTACATATGTACTATAGTCTATAACTAGAGCAATTAATAAAAGTTTCGTGCTCTCTTCGAATCAATAGAGTTGAAAACCCTAACTTTCTTGCAAACAACTGAGAGTATACACGCCAATTCTATCTCGTTCTTTGTTTTGAGGAAACACTTCCGTACATGGAGATTTGAGAATTTTCCTCTCTAAACAAGTCATTCGAGCATTGACCATCAGTTTTTCAAGTGACCTGAGGTCCATGCTACTTGACGAGTAGACGATGATGCTCAAAAACTGCTTTGCTAGCTCTAAAGCTCGACAGTGCTTCGTTCTTGGATCTTAGCAATTTTATATGAGAGATATGGACAGAAATCTTTCTCACACAAACAGTTTTGAATAGCATTACGATAATCGTTACTGTAGTAGCATAAAATGACTGATCGATCGAATGGCAGACATTCAGCATTTGAATGATGCGTAATTTTCATGAAACTCAACAACACTCTGGGGAATGAGCCAGTTTCACTGTATGCATAGAGGTATTTCATAATGTTTGGAAATATCTCTAAACCAATCACTTGAGAAATCTAGGACGCAGACATCGACCGAATTGATGTGTTAAAAGGCAATTTTTTTGACATCGTACTGTATATGTATATTCGATACTTACAATGGAAGAGTTTGTACTGTTTGTTAAGAAGATTAGATATATTCGGGTCAAATTAAAGCACTCACTCCCAAACTAACAAATTTAATATATTAGCTGTCATTAGCGTGCACGGATCGACATATTCAAATTTTAACATATTTACAATCTATGTCAGATGTCCACAATCCAAAATTTCAGCAGAACTTTCTCTTCTTCATTGTTGGATAGAGCTCGTCAAGTTGCGTTAGAAAATATATATTTCATATTTTAAAAAACACATTTAAAAATAAGTTTACGACGGTCAGAATTTGACTCTATTTCCCCTTATATTTAGAAATAATGCTAAGTTGAACTTTTTGTCCGATAGGATTTTTTTAAAATCTCTCTTTTAAAATATTAAAAATATATTTTCTAATGCAACTCGACGAGCTCTATCCAACGATGAAGAAGAGAAAGTTCTGCTGAAATTTTGGATTGTGGGCATCTAACATAGACTGTAAATACCTTAAAATTTGAATATCTCAATCCGTGCACGCCAATGACAGCTAATAATTTAAATTTGTTAGTTTGGGAGTGAGTGCTTTAATTTGATCCAAATATGTCTAATCTTCTTAACAAACGGCACAAACCTTTCCATTGTTAGTTCGGCACATCAGACAAAATAAAATCAATATTATCCTAGAGCGTTGTAGGTTGCCGTTAAACTTATGAATTTCTCTTTAGTAGCTTGTAAAAATAGAAAATCAATTTCACTTTTGAGATTATGTCTATCATGGTCGGTAAAAGAATGATAGTGTCCAAAATTTTGATTCCATACTTCAACATTCATATTAGTTCGTATTTCACGAAAAGTAAGATAACGACATATATTAGTGTTGTTTAAGAGAAGTATTAAAAATATGACAGACATTATAATTTCAAAGATAGAGCAGGATACAAGTCTTTCTTATGGAATAATCAGATACAATGAGGATTGTCATCTTGTAGGTCTTCCACAGTATAAAAATAATTCGTAATCATTGATTCATACACATCAACAAGTGATAAATTGTTTGCATATTGAATGCATTCTAATTTAAAACCATTTTTTAAGTTTTTTTTTAAGGAGCTAAAGATGTTATTTTCGACAATGTTTGGAATTATTGTTGAGAAACATGTAAACATATGAAAAAATAAAAATTTAAATAAACAAAACATTTCTACTGTTTCATTGTTATTCCCGTAAGAATTAACTCTTTAAGTAAGCGAAACAAATTCTATCATTTAAATTAATATCAAATTCAATGTTTTCTAAATCAATGTATAAAAATTAAACAACACAAAAGAATAAATTAAAGGTAAATAGTACAATGAATTTCTATAGTACAGAAGATTTAACATTATTACTATTTTATTATTAAATATGATCTGATCATACTAGAAACCTAAGCTTAGTTAAATTTGTTTTCTTATTGACAATTCAGGATTTTCTCTGAAAATAAGAATAAATATACCGATAACTAACAAAACAAAGTTAATAATTAGGTATGCGAATATAATTATATAACATGTATATGAGAATCGACCACAAACTATGTACCCTACTTTTCTATATGTTTGGTAGAATGCCATATTTACCTGTTGAGATTGAAGTAAAGAAAAGAAAAGCACAAAAAAATGTGCATCTGATAAGAATTGCCGACAAAAGAAAAAAAAGCAGGGAGAAAGATTTTTCAAGACAAAATAAATTAAGAAACTTTTTTTTTACATTCGAATATTTATATATCAAATATGAAATGTTCATGTTTCTTTTTAAATACAATGATTACAAGCTTTTTTATTATAATTTTTTCATTTACCATACATATAATGGCTTCTCAAAAAGATATTCAATACTTGATTTTTGAAGGTGGTGGTCCTGACGAAGGTCCTGGTCCTAATCAAACTATTAATATTGCTTCACTAAAGCATACATTTGGCGAAATTAATCCGAATGCTCAACGTATGTATGCATATGGCAAGCAACAAGTACGTTTTCTTACTCGATCGAGTGCTTTCATTCGTTCAGAAATCGAAGCAGCATTTGATCTAGCCGAATACACAAACGTACCTCTTTTTATTCATATAGATCCAATTTATGGTTGGGGTGCTGACGAAGAAAGTTCAGCTGTTGATGCACCCGTAATTAAATACTGGAAAAATGAAACAATGCGAGAATGGATTGAATTTCCTTCGAATAGAAGCCAACTACCGAGTCGTATTCCTCGAACGTGGTTTAATTGGGGACCTTGGTGTTCACCTTCGTCTGCATTTCCAGCCATTGGTGCCCCAAATTTCATTAACTTCTCTATTATGCAATTTAACGAAAGTATTGGTAAACCTCTCGCAAAATGGATCATAAGATTAAATCAACAAAATAAATCTTATTTATTTGCTGGTATTAATATTGGTTGGGAAACAAGCATTCTTAATTATAGACAAATCGATCCAGCTCATTTACCAATAGCTGAGTGGCCTTTAAATGCAAGAAATATTACAATGCTTGAATGGGAAGCTGGCGCTCAACTTGGTTATGCTTCACTCTATTGGCAAGGATGGACTGAAGAAAAATTAGTTAATCAAGCTCAAATTCGAAATATGACTCGTAATGATTTGTTCGACTTACTTTGTTATGAAGCTATTCACAATTATTTGCAAAATTTAGCTAAAGTTTGTGTTGATAATAATATTTTGCGAGAACATATTTTTACTCATATTGTACCTATGGCTTCAGTTAATTCTTCACGTATAGAAACAACTGTTCCACCTATTTGGACTGCTGTTAATTCTTATTCAATTCCTGGATTTACGATGGATAATCGAGGAGCAGCTGTCTATAATCTAACAGAACTTAAGCATGAGATTGCTGTTATTGATCCTTCTCAATCTCACTTTGCCGTTAGTGAATCTTATCTTTTTAATTATGGCGATGAAGAAAGTATGCGTAATAATTTAGCTGAAGCATTTGATAATGGTTGTTTGATCAAGGCTATATATGGTGCATTACCTTTTGCCAGCGAAGATCCTCAACCAGAAGGAGCTATCAAAGCTATACGACAGTGGCTCAATGCAACTATTTAGTATTTGTTATTCGACATGAAACTTTTTTCAACAGTTGAAAATAAAAAACTTTTTCGCTATACGTCTATACAGGCTTATATTTTAACAATTGTCGAAAAAAAGCATTATATCGTTAAGCTCTTATCAAACCAAATGTCTGAAATTCGAATGTATAAGATAGCTCAAAAGTTACTTAACCGAATAAAAATTTGAATATCATCACTATAATACAACTAAATGAGTTAATTGTTTTCCAATGATATCGAAATGTATATAATTCATGTTCGTAAGATAAATATTGAAAAATTCTTACCTGAAGTGTGATCATTGATTACAATCAAAAATTCTTATTGTTGACAGATTATTAAAAAAAACACAATATATTCCTTCGAACAAAAATCAAAGACACATCTGACAGTGGACCCTTTCATCATATGTAGTTTTGACCAAAATAAACAAATATTCACTAAGGTTCGATAACATAGTATATAGTGATATATACAACTAATTAATCATTCTCCTCGCTTAGCACATCAGCGACTCTTTTTAAAAGACAAAAAAGAAGGAACTCTCAGTATTTGATTAGTTATTCATTAGATGAATAATACATCATATCGGAACAGAAAACAAATGTGGACAATCATCGAAAGATAAAGATCAACTTCTTTTCGATATCGGCAAGAAAATAATGGTCAAGTAATGTGGCAACGGGTGTGAGTACCAATGAAGAGAAAACCAACATTCCCATACACACCCCCGAAGCTCGACTGTCATATCACCAAAAACAATCAACATCTTGAATCAAAATAGATCAAATATGTTCACATTTTTTGTTCCTAGTGAAACGACTTTTGAATCTTTGTCTATAACAAAAAAGCAATCCCATTCATATGTTGTCAGTCTTGAGCTTCTTTTCATTACATTTCTAATCTAATTATTTATTCCAAAAGAGAAGAGAAAAAGTAATTAATAAACACAACACTTAAAAGTGCTGACATATCATCATCATAATGGTAAGATGAAAATTTCATATCCTAATTTCTCGATGGAATTGTCTATTATAATGAAGACAATAAATAGATCTAGCAATCTATATTAATCAAGTCTTCATGATCGTCAAATTTTGCTCCAATGAACTAAACTCCTTTCCACAATGGGAGATCTTCATTGTAGGAACAATGCGTTGGGCGTGATAAAAGATTCCTCTTAACTAATTAATTTCTCAAAAAAATGGACACTCTAACTAGTACATTTACATCAAAATCTAAAAAATATCTTTCTACAGTCTCAAAATCAAGTTGATTTTCTGAAAAACTTCAACAATATTCCTAAGACAAATAGTATCATAGTCATTTGATTTATTCAAAAAGAAAAACTTTTTTTTTTTCGTTTACAAATTGTTTTGATTTTTGGTTCAATAGTGAATAAAGTCTGTAATTAATATTGGAACACTAAATAATACATATAATATATGTAAATAATATCTTGACTTAAACAAGTAATTGATCAAGTCTCATGTCAATTTCTTCGATTCTTGCTTTTGTCTCATCTAAACTTACGTTTTTCGCTTGAGTACTTAACAATCGTTTGGCTTCTTGATAATTCAATCTTGCAAGATTGCGTTCATCTATTTTTGCTAATGCAATTCCATCTTCAACTAATAATTTCGCTAAATCATCAGCCATCGTTTCATATAAATCATCTTCTATATTAAATATACCTTTAACTTTAATTTCGTTTGCCATTGATTGTTTAGCTCGTTCTATATCCACACAAAATATATAAACAATATGTAATGCAGAAAGATATGAAAGTCTTGGTACTAATAAACGAGACATTCCGCCAGACATAACACAAATTAATTTAATATTAGAATTATTTTCAATATAAGATGTAAAATTATCATCAGAATCAAAATATAACCATTGCGTAATAAATGTAGAAAGAGTTTCGAAACGTTCTTTTATATATTTATGCATTCCTGGCTCACCTATACCTTGATCTACCCATGCAGCGACTATTGATGGTCTTTGAAGAGATAAATTTCTATTATCAGCATTTGTTGTTGCCGGCGTTGTATCCATTTGATATATATTTTGAAATAGCCAATAGCTATATTATGGCAATAAGAATATTTATCAAAATAATGTGCAGACGAAGTGAAAATGGCTTTTTCGATTTTTCTCCAAGTATTATTTTTTTTCTGTCCTGCTATTGTGTCATTCAAAGAAAAAACCAACATTTTACAAAAAAAAAAACAACTTTGTCATAAGTACATTATTAACATGGTTTTTTTTTCCAAGGACAATATATTTAAAAATTTTATTTTGATAAATATGAATCTCAACGAATTTATCAACTTTTCAATTTAATCAGCTGCAATTATTCAATATTCTCAACTCATTATGTTTTCTTGTTGTTTTTTCTGTTCTATTGTATGTCCACGTGTTCTTCAATATTGATAAGAATATCGTGTGCTCTTTGCTAAGTACATTTGGAAAGATCTAATCTATATGAGTAAAGGGCAACTTTTTAATGCAAATGGCGCGAAAAAGAACGAATAGATGCACACATTAACATAATAAAAGTTTCTCAACCCTTCACTGAATATAAAGCGAGATACATGGTGTAATGGGTTCGTAAAAATGTCGACAAAAAAAATCGATGTAGAAAATGGTTGAAAAGTGTTTTAGAAAATTCTGACTAGCAAGAAACATGCTTTATTCTATGGGATAATACTAATATTACAAAAGGGACCAAACATTAGTCAAGAGTTATAAGAGAAAGAATTTATAATGTATCATTTTTTTGTTTCATTTAACAAATATAAATGATAAACTATCTAAGTATTCTATAGCATTTATCAATTTGACTCGATTCTTGTTGAACATTCATTAAGTGTACATTTCCAATATTTGATAGTTGATATTATTTTATTCGATTTGAAAATATATTCATTTGTTATGAGTAAAGGTTTTTCTTTTTGTGAATGAATAAATAAAATAGCTGACGATCTTGGTTAAGTTAAATCTGGTGAAGATGGAGCAATTGCAGTCATGATAATAGAATTTCAGTTATAAAATAGTTCTTTATTCGACTCGTTTAGTTAATCTATAGCAGGTATGACTCATCATTACTACTACTGGTTACAAATCTAGACCGGTAGAATTATAATGAACTATAGATGCTTAGAGGCATCACTTTTTTCGATATTTTTCCAGCATATCTCAAGAACAGTTCATAATACATTCAGTTTTGTTCTTAGTGAGAATAGCAACAGCCTAAAAGAATTCGTCCCTATTGGCCTTTGGTATCGAGTTATGACTGAGTTACTGAATTTTTGAGCCATTTTAGGTACTCCTCAGAATATCGAATAACAGGATTTTGAACAAATTTTGTCTATAGTTATTTTTTAATGACTTCTCTTAGAATATCCTGAGAGTTTCATTCGAAAAGAATGTTCATTTATCAAGTTATTGAATTTCAAGTGAATTCGGTTTTTATTATATGTCTATAGCAATAGGCTATTTTTTGGAAATTCAATAATATTGATGAAAGAATATTCCTTTCGGATGAAACTTCCAACATATTCTATAAGTCATTAAATCTCTCTACAGGCAAAATGTTTGATCGAAACGCCACTATTTGATGTTCTGGGAAGTGCCATGGGTGAAAAAATTCAGTAAATCGATCATAACTCGGTGTCAAAGATCAAAGGAGATGAATCCTTTCAGGCTTTTGCTATTTTCACTGAGATCTATCTAGGAGTCTAATATGAGCTCAAACGGAAAGTGTCAGGTGGAATAGTTCCTTCGTGAATTAAATTATATTCGAAAAGAAGTTTGAGTTTGTCCAACTGGAAATATCTGCAAAAAAAAGCGTCACTGTACATTTTGTGATATAATTTGAATGTATTTGAAACAGTAAAAGCTAGAAAATTGAAATCTTCATCGCTAATATAATTTTTTGAGCTCTATTTAATCCGAAAGTTTGAGTGAAACGAGAACAACCGTTCTCAAGTTATAAAATAAGCAAGTTTCAAAACATCACTATACAAAATATGTGAATATACTCCTTTTTTGTTTTAGATACTTCGATTTTTTTCCTCTAATATAGAAATAAAAAAAATTATAAACATTTTTATATGACAAAGTTCTCTATTATTTAGCATAGTGGGAATGTTGAGAGTAGAAGTATAAGAACGGAAAAATGTATAGACCAGTGAATCACATGTTTTCAATAGAACGATATTCAAGCTACAAAATAGCCTACTTACATTTTCTTTTCTATTTTCTTTCTTTTCTTTTCTCAGACAAGCGTCTCCTTTACATACTTCTCGAATAAAAATGCCATTTTCTTTTATAGTCAACCCTGTAACTTAGAAACGATACAAGATAGAAACATAAAATCTAGGTGTGGATGTGGAAAATAGAATTAGAAAATCTACTTTAGAATTATTCGATCGGAACAAAAGCTATATATATATATATATGTATATAAACGAGTATTTCCTATTAATATAGAACAATTAATCAGATATTCCTCGAACAGTATTAGAGCATATTGTTATTGATTTGATTGAAATCTGTAAGGGTAAAATTTTTCAAAATAATTATCGTCATTTACATAGATGATAATTATTTTAAAAATCATTTCTTCATATATAGATTTTTATCGATGAGATAATAGAATAAAAAAAATGAAATTTAATTATGTATTTTATTTTAACAGTAAATTTCTCAATGTTATTTTGCTCTTTTTCTAATGATTATTAAACTCTTGGATCATCGACGATGCATACATATGTATCATAAACTTAATCATTGCTTGAAACTAATTTCATCATTTATAATGTAAGTTTTTTTAATCTGCATTTTGAGTAAATGCAAATGTCAAGTAACAGGATATTTCTACATTATAATTTTTTTTACCGCCCATATATTAAACTCCTACGGTAAGAAACACAAACGTATATGATATTCAACCACTCTATTTTACGTGTGTTTATCTTTTGTCGGTAATGAAAGGGTTAAATGAACCGAAAACTTTTTAATTTATTGAATTATTTTGTAAACATTATTTAAATGACTTTAGAATTGAGAAAATCATAATATTCTTAAGAAGAAAAAAAATACTGTTATATATAAAATAGTAAATTAAGATAATCGAACAGAAACTGTAATGAATAAATTTAGACATACATAGAAACATATCTTTTGTATATGATTAAACTATCTTAATAAATGCATGAGACATTTTTTATTTCTTTACTTTTAAGATCATAGTTGTACTCATGAATGACGCTAAAAAAGATGTGAATATATCGATGAACAGTTTGTCTGAAAATTAGAATCGCTGATTGTTTCTTTTTATAAGATACAACTTAAAATCTGTTCGACAAAGAGAAAAGCATAAAACTTATAACAGCTTTACTAACGTTATCTTAGTACCAGTGCACAAAATCCAATTTCAATTGTTCACTTTTTATTTCATGTCGTAGTGTTCATTTTTTCCGTTGTTGAAAAACTTAATATTTAAAATTTTTCAAAATTTCATAGATTTTTATTTGTTTAGAAAATTATATATCAAATATCTGTATATAATGAAAAATATTATGTTGTAACTTTCTCTGCAGAAACGCTTTAAAAAAAGTCTTTCGCGTCTGGAAAACGCCCAGAACATTTTCTCACATTTTTTTTTGACATACACCACGTATTAAAAAAAAATGATTTTTATGTACAAATTATGTCAAAATATTGCAGCAAAAAACAACCGTTTGTGCACGTTTTCAACTTGCAAAAGTTACATTTTTAAGCGTCTTAACGGACAGTTTATGATGAAAGTAGTTGCTTTTGATGTCGATGTGTAGACGAGCACTGCGATTAGAATGTTTAAACGCATTTGCAAAAAATTCTTGTTTGTTTAAATTCTATTATAGCTTTATTGAAAATTCGATTAACTACGTAATAAAATAAACAATCCAAAGTTAACACATTTACTTCATCTAAACAAATCATCGTCCAGAAGATTAACAAATTAGTTGATCATATCAGTTTTGATAAGAAACATCTGAGCCTTTTCTTCTGTACTATATATATAATTAGATTAAAGTACAGAATGTATGAAAATATTTTATCAGAGGAAGAAGACATTAGGATTCAACTCAATGTAAGTCCATCAAAAATCGATTTTAATGATATAAATTTAGACAAAGTTTACTTGTTGCACTCGGGATATTTCCGAAAGATTTAGATTGTAGAACACATGACGGTTGTAGATCTTATGAAGGCAAAAATGCTATTTATGCTGTCAAATTATGATAATGATCATTATATTGGCAGATGATTCATTCTCAAACTAAGAATACATAAACATAAGTTAGTTATATCCCTTGTTTTTACATTAGATTCACTGCTAATGTACAAAAATACTATAGCTGATTATATTTGGAAATCTAACATACAAACACGAAAAATATATCAAGATGTAGTTTTTTTCTTATTCTGTCACAAAATGTTTTGACATTCTAAGAATATGATAATATGATCGACAAAATCATTTGTTCTGTTTTCCTTCGTATTCTTGATTTATTTTCAAATCATCTGTTATCTTTTCTCTTTATTTATGTATTATTATCTTACAGTTGATCTCCTACAATAACATTTTGTTATTTATACGTATGATTATTGAAGTTCTTGAAATTCAAGCAACAAAAAATTTGTATTGATTCATACAAGTTAATTCTAGTTTTTTTTTTCGATAGGATTCATGTGAGTGAAAAACTTGTTTTTTTTTCTATAGCAAATACTGTCGATAGTGTCTTACTTCCTTTTTATCCTGAAACAACAATTATATATACCCTGTAGATGTAAATTATTTAATCTAGAAATGATCAAGCATAAATTCATCGTCATACTAAGAAAAGCAATAGTCATATGTAATACCGTAGAACATACCCTATAATCATTATGATTTTCTTTTCTAGACTACATTTTGTCTTCAATATTAATCATATTGTCGCCTACATATTGATACAATTTCTTTTCACCCTATGTCTTCTATTCATCAATATTTTGGTGCATTC